AAATATGCATTTTACCGATATGTTCCATCATTTATTCCATACCCTATCATGATCAGTCGTTCCGCTACGAATCCAAGGATCACAACGATGTCTAGGCGATAACCGATGAACTAGCTAAGCACAACAACATCTGCGGGTTATCGATAGGTAGGGTCAAGGCTTGGCAAACTCGAGAGGGAGAGAGTGCGCGCGAGAGAGCAAGCGAGAGAGAGAGAGAGCAAGCGAGAGAGAGAGCAAGCGAGAGAGAGCAAGCGAGAGAGAGAGCAAGCGAGAGAGAGAGCGAGCGCGATAGAGAAAGCGCGAGAGAGACAGCCGAGAGAAAGACAGCGCGCGCGAGAAAGAGCGCGAGCGAGAGAGACAGCGCGCAAGAGAGTCAGCGCGCGCGCGAGAGAGAGAGAGAGAGAGAGAGCGAAGGAGAGAGCGCGCGCGAGAGAGAGAGAGACAGCGCGCGAGAGAGCGAAAGTGAGCGCGCGCGCGAAAGAGAGAGAGCGAAAGAGAGATCAAGAGAGCCAGCGCGCGCGAGAGAGAGAGCACGAGCGCGAGAGAGAGCACGAGCGCGAGAGAGAGCACGAGCGCGAGAGAGAGCGCGAGCAAAAGAGAGAGCGCGAGAGAGACAGCGCGCAAGAGAGTCAGCGCGCGAGAGCGAAGGAGAGAGAGCGCGCGAGAGAGAGCGAAAGTGAGCGCGCGAGAGAGAGGGCGCGCGAGGGAGCGAGCGAGAGAGAGCGCGAGCGAGCGAGAGAGCACGAGAGAGAGCGCGAAAGAGCGAGAGAGCGAGCGCGCGAGAGACAGAGAGAGCGTGAGAGAGAGCGAGAGAGAGCGCGCGCGCGAGAGAGAGAGCGTGAGAGCGAGAGCGAGAGAGAGAGCGAGGGAGAGAGAGCGCGCGAGAGAGAGAGAGCGTGAGAGAGAAACCGCGACAGAGAGAGAGACCGCGACAGAGAGCGAGAGATATGATGAGAGAGTGGAGGATGACCCCTCTCAGTACTAATTACGGATGTAATGCCAGGTGGGGCGAGGGGTGTAGTTTCGATTGAAGTTGGCCCCTGAGGGGAAACATATTAGTAGAGAGTAGGGAGTAGGGGTAGGTGTAGCAGTAGGATGTCGGAGTGGGAATAGAAAATAAGAATGACTGCCATGTCCCTTGCGTGAATAGCAACTATTCAGAACGAATTTGGTGATTGGCCGAGGCGTGTGTGAACTAAGAAGAAACTATAGTCATTTTCGTTTTCTTAACTAAATATGCTCATTAATTCAATGAAAATTCGTTGATTATCTCTGTTAATAGTACGTATGCAATTCAAATTCCACCATGCCATTCAATCTCCACGTCTACGAATTATAATTCAGAAAATCAGGCACTATAGCACATATGTAGCATTACTATTTCCAGTCTTCGCTGGACTATGATAAGAAATGTACATCACAAATTACGAATATATAACAACTATATAAAAAACGAATGAATAAAACGAAGTTGGCGAAGTAAACATTAAGCTAACGGAATAATGGTAAAACATAGAATATTTAACGTGAATAAATTAAATGTTTTACATGTAAAACCTTTGGTCTTTGGATTACAAATGTTAAAAATGTAAATGTCAGTTGTATGTACACGTTTGAAAAAGTACTCTACAGCAAAAATGTGTCAGAAGTGACTAGTTTTTTTGTTTTTTTTACTTTCCAATATTTAAAAATGTATTCTCCCCCATACCTTTCTTTGCTTTTCGTGGGAAGTAATGTTTTCATGACTTTAATAGCTTCTTCTAATATTTTATTTGCAATATGTTCAGTACCTTCCATATGCAAATATTTCTTGCAAACAAACCATGCAGGACCCATTAAAATAAATCTTTGCAGATGCAATGCGTCATCAAATATTTGCCTCCGATGGTAAAGATGTGCTTGAGTTTCTCAATATTTAAATTATTCTTCAATGGAAACGAACAAATATTGAACTAACATGTGGATAAATGGTTATAATTGCACTCGTAAATAAGAAAACTCGTTCCTACCGTCGCTTATTTTCTTGAACATACCAATCATGCACTTATCTGCCTCTTCACACACTCGTTTCGTCAATTCCAATAATATTTTGTCTAGTTCCCTGGTTAACGAAAATAATAGTCACAAATATTGCGTTTCCAAGACAATTTTTTTACGGGATGATATTTGAGTAAGTTTATCGAGAGTTTCAAAATCGTGCCAAGTTGTAACATTAAGCTCGATCAAGAAATGCGATTATTGTCTATTATAAATAAATCGAAGAATACTCCCTGCCCAAGTGGTGTTTTGAGTGTAAGGCAGAAAGTAGATTCCGTGAGACATTCGGGTGCAAAAAAGTTTGTCGCATTTCGACCGCGTTGTGAGTAGGCTATGCGAATCATGAGCAAACACGTCGTTCCCTAGTTGGAATACCAACTATTGCTTTGAAAATATCGACGCGTATTTGCATTTTGTGATGTGCGCTATTTCTGTGATGCTACCTTCTTACCTAGTATATGTGGACGGACAATCTATACAGAATGGCGATCTCTGGAAGTTCTGTTAGTTGAATATATATTTTTTAATTGATGGCAACTAATTACAATATATCAGCCTTTTTTTTCAATAAAATAACAACTTGTATTCTTTGATTTCGCATTCTGAATGCCTTAATTTACGTGATATTTACTGTGTCTTGATGCCGTTTTTAAGTTCAATAAAATGGGGGGCTTTCTGGCTTATCATTATATTGTTGGGTTTACTTGAAATACAGATGCCAGGGATATAAATAAGGAGCAAACATTCAAAACGTGAAACGTTCACTTTACTCTTTTCCAATAAAAATGAAAAATGTAGCACACATTTTACCTTTTTCAACACCGTCTTTCACTCAACGAATAGAGTACTACTTAATATATTCTAAGACATCTCACGTGTTTTTTCTGGAAATAAAATAGTAAAAAAACGGAAGAACTAAACTTTTGCGACATGGACATGTCATCTTTTGTATTCAAATTTGCAAACTTGCTTCTGAAGTGTTCCGTGCCTATATCTTAACATATCATAAGTATCGATACATAGAAAAGTGTGTAGTAATAGACAAAAAATGCTATTATATAAAAATGTTAAAAATATATATTATTAATAAATATGGTTTTAATTCATTCAGAATATCTCGAAAAGTCTAAACCCACATTTAATTTTCGTATCATGTTCACGTTAAATTTACTTAGTTGTGAATGTATTTCGTAATTATTACGATCGAACGTATCAATGATTGGGTTTCATTTCCGGCAAATGGCATCATCTCGAGGTGTTGAACTTTACATTAGTGAGATTTTGACATCCGCCAGTATCGAATACTAGGCCCTCTGGACTAATAGTTTCCCTGACCACTTGCAGCTGAATGCCGGAGCGCTCACCTGCAATTGGTCAGGCAAACTATGCGAGGGGCGCCAATCTAACCTATCCCGTCCCGGAATGCCAATGAGGGCTGAGTGCTCAGGCATTCAACTGCAGTGCTCTGACCCGGAGGGACCCAAAGTTTCGATCCCGACCGTGGCAGAATTCCGACAATTAGCTTCATCACACAGCTAGCGAGTCGCCCACTGTCGGAGGAGAATTCTAGCGACCCCGCTCTGATCGACCGTTTACTGTCGATTATTCAGCGCGGAGTTACCGGAGCATTACCGCAATAAACGGGCCATGGTCGCGCGCCATCTCTTCTTCTGATATTACTAGGCTGTCCGGGTGACCCCGCGTCCATGCGAAGTGCCGACGTTTCGGTCGCCAGTTCTGGACCTGCAAATCGCCCTGAGGAACAGTACGCTGATAATGCGACCGAAACAGTCGGTCACCTTCGCCATGGACGCGCACCCGGACAGCCTAGTAAATACTGACTCCGGCCGCGGAAGCCTACGCTCTCATCTTTCTTTCTTCTTCTTTGTCCCATGTTTACCCGTTACGTACACTCACCTTTGCATACACTACACTACCGTACATGTTGGAGACTACACGGAAGTTTCGAGTTGGGGGTGGGTGCCCCTCTTTGAAAGATACCTGGTAAGGGGAAAACCCACGCAAACCGATGTGTAGGTTAGCACCAGATCTCGTCATCTAGTGGAGAAAGATCGTCATCCTCCGTGCAAAAAACATTCACTACAGTTACAGGACTAATGACTTTAGCAGAGACACACCCGGAAACACAAAATAATCAAACCAATGAAACCGAACGCCAATGCCCTTATCTGCCTAGCGTGCGAGTATAGGCAGATCAGGACATCTAGTGGATGAATACCGTCAGCCTCCGTGATAAAAATGTGCTGTAAATAGTTCAATCGTTCACCTTAAAATGTTGCAGTAATGCAATTAAAACTTCATGTTGCTTTCCATAACATCATAAAAGGTGTCATCTTGGGCAGTTCAAAATTTAGAGAAAAAATATATTTAAAAAAATTACACAATGGTGGAATGGAATTTTCAAAAGTTCAGCCAGTTCAGGGTTAATAGCATTGAAGCATCATAAAACTATACTAAAATCATATCGAGTGACTGTTTAGTTTTTCCAGCGCTTTCCTACTGTGGTTATTAGCCCTGATGGGTAGTCATATACGGAAGGAGGGTTGTGTTCCTCCTTTTCTAGAAAATGGAATACTAGCTGAACCCGTACGATAACATCGCATAGAAGCGCTTTTGGAAACATTCTGCTCCAACGTTTGCCTGGTACTCATAGAAGGATCCACGGAAAACTACAGATCAGAACACTCAGCTGCTAGAATTCTTCTCTAAGCAGCGACTACATTCTTCCCAGCTATGAAGCCAGTGACGAAAATTCACCACCGTCGAAACTTTAATCCCAGAACTATCCACCCAGCGACTGTGAATCTGCGACAGATGTGGCCACCGTGCCACCGCACCCGGTAATTCAAATGCGCGCACCCCTATGTAGTTCCGCTCCCGGCCGCTGCGAGCGCTGCCCTCGGCCACGTATAAAGGCGGGCGAGACCGCGCGCCCTCGTAGAAGGCCGCATGGTGGCCTCCCGGGGTGACGGGTCGTGTCGGAGGTGGTTCGGTTTCATCTCGCGGCGCGGCGCGGCGTTGCGGTCGACGCGGCAGGACGCCGACTTCTCGTAAGTACACTCTGCCTTTACAGACGTGGAATATTATTAATATTGATTAATAATAATGAATACTTTTTAGATAGCCATTAGTAAAGAAGATTCACTTTTAGAGTATGCAAAGTGTGCGAAAATTTCAGTTTACTATTACTAATGCTCAAACAGAGGCGATGCTCATATGTTCGAATAAAACTCTGACTGCAACAAAGAAAATAAAATGTTTTCGTCTGATCAGCTACAACTGATCTTAATGAAACATAGTACCCATTAAGTGATTTTACACGTCAATTAAAATAAAACGAAAGTCATTTAGGCTGTCTAAATATTAGTGTATGACACACGTGGCAGAAGTGATTTTATTCTGCTAGTAAGACTGTGCCACTTGACATGTCGGCCTCCTGTCGCAGCATTTCCTATTCGTAAAATAAAATTTTTATTGTACCACTCGTAACATAAATGTTAGTAGTATGTGGATTGTAGCCCTAAGGGACGCAACCACACTAATATTGACTCTTCGTTGCATAATACACTGAATGTAATGCGAAGAATAATATAAATCTCAATTTTAGATACAAGCAAAAAATCGTTACAAATAAATACGACAATTATTGTACGATTATATGTATGCATGTAATTACGAACATATGATTAAAATGCATAATGTGTAATAAATGCATATTATACCATCATGTAAACATTATAATGCATATTATAAAATGATAATTTGTAGTATATATTTACATTACAAATAATATTTGATACTAAACTTAAATAATATTCGAGGGAACCACCAAAATTGGGCTTCGCTAATATCTTATAAATAAGTTGATGTTTCGCGATGCCGTTTGATCCTATTATTTGTAGACGATAGACGAAGCTACACATTTCGTTGCAGTGTTTGTAATATTGTAATTTTTGAGACTTTTATACCACTTTTATTTTGTAAATGGAAATATTTTATTTTACTGTTTCGAAGAACTGGCTTGGGCGAAAACAGTGATAAAACATAGTTAATATTCTCAAAGAAACTGTAGAAAATATAGGTTCTTCATTTCCTCAGAAGCAAAGTTTTCCGCAACTGTTTTTCAGGAAGGCGAAAAGAGAGACCTTGGCTGGCGCTCTGCGCTCTAGATAGGAGTTGAAATTGAAACTTCGTGGTGTCAATGTAAGAAACTATCATTGATTACTTAATCGCATGGGTCACTTGATTGTGTTCATAGGTTTTTGTATTGCCTTGAAGCATAACTATTTCTTCACGTAGCAATATAGTAAGAACTGATTCCTAGAAAGACAAAATATAATATACTATTACAAATAAGTGTAGTTACTTGTTGAAGATACGCAAGGTTCAATTTCGATGTCTATCGAGAGAGTTGATAACGAGTAAAGGACTGTTTCTCTCTTCCAGAAAACAATGGAAAATTCGGAAAAAGTGACTTCTAAGAAAATGTAGAATGTATTTTTTCCACAGTTTCTGTCTGAATATGTGTTTATTCTCATAACTATGTACTATCATTGTATTCGTCTTTACGATTTTTTTAGAAAGTGGTAGAAAAAATATTAAAGTAATTTCAATATTTTAAAAATTGAAAATAGTACAAACTGAACGAAATATGTTATATCCCCCAACATGTACCACAACTTTATGCGAACTGCTTTTCGATGTCTCAATACATTTTGAATACATTCGCTGTTGCCAACCTACGTGGTCCACCCAAAGCACGAGAAATCTTCTCCTTCCTTTACTAAAAATGGCATACTTGTATAATATAGTATAAAAGAGTTATTTACAATTTAAAGATTTCTTTTGAACAAGTCTTCTACCAAATAACATTAATTAATATTAGAAAGAAAGAAATATTTCAATTTGTGTTTAAAATTGTAATAAAGTATTTATATATATATATATATATATATATATATATATATATATATATATATTTCATTTCATTTAAGGAGGATGATGTATAGCTTTTCGATAACGGAATATGAAATCCAATAAATCGACTGTAAATGCTGAGTTCAATGTGAAAGTTGTAGAATTTGGAAATTACGGAGGTAATTCTGAAAATTTCGAATTCCTAAATGCGTTTCCATGAAAAATAAAATACCTCAAACTTTAATTGCGCTACTATCAGTTTTCCTCCGTCTTCGTATTAGAGATATCAATATTTCCATTTCATTTTTGTGTAGTTTATTCGTAGTGACTAATACTGACGAGAGCAATACTTGAATGTGACCTCACTGTTCCACTGGATGGATGTGAGATAACTGAACTCTGTTTGAAACCAGGAAGGCTCCATCGTTCGACATCGCGTTGAGGATTCTACTTTGTGCTGCGTCTTCATGGTGTTATTGAGATACGAAGACTGCTAATTGACGTAATTGTAAGTACCCTTTAATTGTATCTTAAATGAATGCATGAATGCAAAACAAAATTGTACGTAATAAATCACATGTTTCTGTAAGAAAGTATGTCGGTGTTATATCAAAATTGAACACCGGTCGGTATTAAGTCCGTCTTTAAAACGAAAATGCAATTATTATGTCATCTTTTATGTTTACTATGTTTAATATTAACTTTTTACGCTTGATCGAGTGTTTTTTAAGTTCCACTAACAGGAGACACTGGACGGTTTTGCAAAATATATATATTTACACTTGTATTCTTACTTTAACAGTTACTCTTACATATCAATATTTTACGAATATTCAAATAAAGAAAATAAAATGTGTTTGTTTAGAAAAGAGAATTTAGATTGAACAATACGTAATGTTTAATTACAATTGGTAGTGTTAATAACATTTAGTTGACCCTTCTTTGCACGATTTTGAATTTCTTGTTTTCAGACAGAGTAATGACGATCATACAATGTTGCACACAATCGATTTAGACGTTTTTGAAGGGAAACCACGTGATGGGCCTCTAATTTTTGAAAATGTTTGTTTTTCTTTTCAAAAGCATTAATTCGTGAAGAACACTAGCGCTCAAATCTAGTCGGGATTTTTTTCAGGCAATCTGACTGAACATGGTATTTTGCGAATCTGAAAGGAATATTTTATTAAGAAGGCATTTTAGATAAAGCTCATTATTTGTTGTTCCAGGGGATTTTCTCAGCTTTCAGGGGACGCTGATTTCGGCTATCCACGCCGGGTACTCGCTGTCTCCATCATAGGGAAACGTTTCTTTTTTTACACAAGACTCACTTGCGGGCTCCTTGGTGTGTCGCGAGCGGACTCAAAAGGTCTTCGCGACAGAACACGTCCAGGAATGACAAGGGGCAACCAACTATGCCCACGACGAGACTCGAACCCGCGACCCTTCGGGCCGAGGCCACACGCTCTAGCCACCTTGGCCGTCCAGGTCGGCTAAATAAAGCTCATACATTTTCTGAATTTTATTAATGACTGCTCCAATTTTTTTTCTAAGTTACCATACATTACGTAATGCAGTACTATTTTTTAAGGTCGCATTAACATCTAGGTCATTAGCGACTACTATTGCATTTCACGATATGGAAACTGTTAAGATGAGATGATTGTTTTTGATACTGATACGTTCACTGGTTGTTTTACGTTTCGAGGAGTACGTGAAGTTACTCGCAATGGGCCTACAATTACAACGAGGAGAAACAGATTGGGTCAGATATCGAATACGTATGAGGTACTCGTATAAATAGCATCAGATCAAAATGTATTAACTTCTAAGATAAAATGAAGTGCATTTGAAAGTGATCATATCTTATAAATTTACGTTTTTTTTGTACATTTAAGGTCGCATCAGCATCTAGGTTATTAGCGACCACTATTGCTTGTAACGGTATGGTAACTATGAAAATGACATAATATGGCGATGAACGGGGGTGAAAGGACGAACACAAATACAACCATGCCCGAGGGGGGTCTCGAACCCGCGGTCCTTCAGTTCGAGATCACTACGTTACTACTGCCTTAACGATCTCGGCCATCCCGACGACACTACAGTACTTTCTCGTCTGCGTAAAACGTCTCAGTACGCCCGCCTCTTTGTGAACTCCCAACCGCCTGCACTGAATCCTAGTCAGTATCATAATTCTTCCATTATATCTTATCGATCTTATCTTATCCTATCGATAACTGCGTGTGAGATCTGTGTGGTCTGTCTTTCTGTGTGTGTAATTAAAGAATTGTTCCCTCCATTTTGAACAGTAGTACAAGACGCTACCATGGGCCACCATGGGTTTAATCGTAATGTTAAAAGGCCCAGATGAGCCTGAAGACGACCTTGTGTCATTTGGGGAGTATGAGAGGGCCCTTCGTTCAGAATCGTACACAGGGGAGCAATAGTCTTCTGCGAGATGTCCTGATAGGTCCAAGAGGCGCCCATAAAATGGCAGTCTGGAAAGGGATGTGTGAAAAATGAAAAAGTACCCTATTCGTAATAGAAAGGAAAACTTATTACTTCGAGAACGTCCCTGCCATTTTGAAACGCGCACACATTTACATGATATAAATGTCAATGTCTTTGTTTTTCAATTTTTATCTGCCTAGGCTAGTTTTGGAACTGACGATTTTGACGGGGTTTTCACTCTTGAGGTAAAGTATTTTTTCAGGCACAATTTTTAGAATTTTTTCTGTGTAGAGTGTACCTGCTTAGGTGGCTCAGAGCATCGATTGATGTAATTGCAATGTTTGTGACCTAAGCTTTGAGTCCTGCCGGCATCAGGGTTTTCGACATCAGCTAGATAACTTCGTCGTGTGTGTGTATTAGGAATGCAGCGGCTATCTGTATTTTGCGTCGCAAAGCATAGCAGTTTGCGTAAGCCAGAACTTGCGTTTCTCATTGTGTCAGGCTGCTCCTGTCTTGGATAATTCGACATTGCCAGTTGGTGATTGATTGTTAGTGATTTCGGGCGCGTTATTTCCTAAGGTAATTAGTCCCGTACGTGTAGTACATGCTTTTTTCAAGGAAAGTGGTTTTCCCCCCTTCAATTGCGAGCTCCGGCGCCAACCTACCTGTCGACTAGCGAGGCTTCCCCAACAGGTATCTCCCACCAGCGGGGCCCCTCCCCAGCCGGAACAAGCTCTTACCCCGACCGGTCACCAGGCATGTGTGATAGTGTAGTGCATGTGAGTGTAAGTGTGTGTATGTAAAGGGTGAAGATAGGACAAGACAGAGGAAGGAAAGATCGCGCGCGGTCCGTAGCCCGTTTGTTAGGGTACCGCTCCGGCATTCGCTTAGTGTTGATCGAAGAAACCACGGAAAACTAGCGATCACAGCAGACGGCCGATAGAATTCTCCTCCAGACAGCTCTCGATTTAAGTACTTAGTATCGAAAATCGTGCCACCTTCGGGACTCGAATCCTAGAACTTTTCGGTTAGAAGCAAGGTAGTGTCCAGTTGATGCCTAAGCCACCTAAATCGGTTATGGTTAAAATCTGAAGGGGTAAATAGGGTGTTCATGGCTTGTTAAGTAATTAATGATTCCAAGTACAACTGCTGTGGCGTAGTGAAGTGCCTCCTTAGTGAAATGAATGCTTTAAATGCCGTACGGACGAAGGCTTCTACTCACTGAGTTTAGCATGCACATAGCATTATCCGTGTCTCTCCAGCGAGTCTGACCGTGAGGTTTTTGGGTTAGTCTCGACTTTTGAAGCTACGTCGTATTTAGCCGGTCGGAGAATTCTAGCACCAACGACTTTGACCGATAGTATTGTGGCTTCTCCGATCAACACCAGTCGAATGCCGGAGCAGTACTCTAGCAAACGGGCCACGCGCGATTTATACTTCCTCTTCCTTGACCTACATCACCCCTTACTTACACACGCATACACTCACGTCCACTACACCATCACACTTGTAAGGAGACCGGTCGGGAGCTTAGCGCTTGACCAGGCTGGATGTATACGTGCCGCTCTTGTGAGAGTTACCTGGTTGTGAAAAACCGCACCAAAACTCCACCGGCAACAGCCGACGCGGAGTTCGACTCCGAAATTCAATATCCTGCGGCGACAGATCAGTCACCTCCGAAGGATGAAAACATTAAACAATCTTCAGCAGTTGACGTCCCCGGAATATATAAGATCAATCATAAACTTTCGAAGCCCACTTGAATTAGAAGGAAATATATTCGATCATAGAGGCCTAGCTGAAAAGGCAGTGCCAAAAATCCTGCCACCGTCGGGACTCGAACAACAGGACCTCGGTCTGAGGCTGTGCAGTGACATCAGTTGATGCCCTGAGCCACCTCTCCCGGCGTGTGCCATTTGGGCTGCCAGGCCAGCGCGTCTGCGACAACAGGATGACGCGGTAAATGGAACTGCATTTAGTCTCATTTATCACACAATGACCTATCACTTTACCCTTCAGTGAGTTTGGTTACATTTTAAATCGCACAGAAGTTTTGTGACAGAACACGTTTTTAGCATTCTCTCGGTAAGAGATAAATGTGCTAATAGTGGCTTTTAAATGATTAATAATTCATCAACGCTCAATGAAAATATTAGAATAAACAGATTCTGCATTGAGACTGGAGCATATCTAAGCAAAGTGCAATGTTCGTAACACGGCTTTTGCATTGCGTCATGGAAAATAATGCAGACTCATCATACTCATTTGAAGGGAAAGATACAGTAATGAATATTCATGTAGGATTCATCCATATTCATGAATCAGACATTGTGTGAGCAATGTTGGTACTTTACCATAATGTGTTCAATAAAGAAAACAATACGGATGCCAAGACAACTGCAGGATCAGCTTTCGAAAGGCAAGTAATACATTTTGGATTCAAGTTTCATTAAAGTTTGTTGTATGACGTTTGCTCAGAATTTCGGTGTCGATAATTATAATGTCAAGCTATCTGGGTCAGTAATGAAGGTAACTTAACATTCAGTAACAAAGATAGGTTTTTGTTGGATATGAATTGCATGTACCATGCAACTATTTAATACTGTCTATTTTATTAGTACACAACAATATACTGTAAGTATGTAGTTAGCATTGTGTGGGGGCGGGCATACTTCGGCTTTTGCCAGCTAGCGATGTTCGGAGGCCTGGGTGTTTTTATTCATTATCCACGCCTGGGGGTAAATGATGATGTGGCGAGCTTGACATATTCCATCACCTTATCTGGTTTACTTAGCCTGCCTAAGCTTTTAATTTCCTCCCACATTTATAGAAAATGAGACAATTGTAATTGAAAGCTACAGATCTATTTTGCCCCGATCGAGAATCGAGCCATGGATCCCCTCTCAAAAAGTTAGCCGAGGACTATGTAAATATTACTAAATTATTGTTACATATTTGTAAGAAAGAAAGAACACTTTTTCAACGTTTAAAGAATCGGTTATTCCGTCGTCTGAGCTGTGATAAGAGAAACACCATATCACTAAACACTGAATGGGA